TAAAATGTGTTACTATTTTTCTACTTGCATTTTTACGTGCTTTTGAACTCTAGGTTGGCAGAAGCTGGAACAAGTAACGGGAGCTCACTCTGTTACATGGCACTAGGGATTTGAACCGCCGAACTGCTGACCTTCCTGATTCACAAGCTCAGCGTCTTAGACACTGAGCCACCGCATCCCACTCATGCAAGAAAATAGTAACACATTTTAAAAGAGCTGGTGTGGTATGTTAATTAAGATGTTGGAGTTGGCCTGGGAGTATCAGGTTCAAGAGCATCTTCAGCCATGGAAGTTCATTTGAAAAAGGGACTTTAATCTACATCACCCTGAACACCTGTAGAAAAGGTGGGATATAAATTTTACACATAAAATTTGTAGGATGGAAATCTTGGTGCTCTCTGAGGTTGGTTGATTGCATGTGAATGTTTCAGAGACTAAAAAACCATTTGTCTGAAATGGTATAGGATCTCTTGCCTGATCCGAGGGTTGGACTAGAAGACCTCCAAGGTCCCTTCCAACTCTGTTATTCCCTTATATTCTGTTCTTTTAGGTATCTCCAGTGCTAAAACATGGGATTTGCTTCCTGTTTACATAGAGTAGCTTACAGTGTTGATGGGCTGTGTGATTTTTTCCCCTCCCCTTTGAACAATTTTGTCCATATCAATCCCTTTATTAGAATATGTACGTTGACATGGTTAATACTAGCTTAACTATGGGAAATAGCATATTGGGTATTTTTTTAAATAGAAAAGGTTGTCTTTTATATATGGTAACAGTAGTAACATTCCTACTAATTTTTAAGATGAGAATCAGTGGTTAAGATCTAAGATCGCTCAGGGATAAGGCAGAAAACAGCCCTTTAAAAAAGATCCACAAAGTTGTATGAAGTAATCCAGTTCCTAACTAAAAGAGGGTTAAAATTCCCTTAAATCTGAAAGCAATTCTTATAGCGTTGGAAACTAGGCATTTTCTCCAAGCTCGATTACTGACAATTTTCTTTGCCTTGAAAGGAAACCTGTAATTCGGTAGAAGAGAAACCATTTATTCTGAGTTTCCAACCTCTCTCTTGCCATCTTCCTCTAGCTATTAACATCCAGAAAAGTTGACAGAATACATTGAGGCCTTTGACAAGGGTAATTAAAGTCCTTCTTGGATAGTATGGATTTGCATCTTGTTCTTACCGCCTCTACTTTTTGTCATCTTTTGTTTCTTAAAAAATTATTGCCTTGTTTTATTTTGGGCTCAATTGTGCTTGTAAGTTGAGGATTGCCTGTATTACAGAATCAATCAATCAATCAATCATTATATTTGTGTTTTTATTTGTGAATCAGCCCGGGAACTTTAACTTGAAAGGTGTAAAAATGTAAGAAAAAATAATAATTAGCAAGTCTCAGTTTTCTTGTTAGCTAGATGGGAAAGATGCTGGCTTTCCCAGCTAAAAGAACTTTACCCTTTCAAAGTGCCTTGTTTGGATGCAATGAAAAACAGTTCATTAATATATTTTTTAAATACACAGAAACAATATATGTTCACATGCACAGAAAAGCCAAACAGTGTTTCCTAGCTTCACACCTTCAAGGTATGGTGGAGTGATACACCTTCCAATCATCAATTTTATCTACCTGGGGGTCAGTGGTGGGTTCTGGATCCCATTGCAACCATACTGGTTGCAATGGGGCCCGGCGTCCTCCACATGAATGCATGCAGTGTGCGTGCACACCCACCCACAGCGCGCGCATGCGTCTTACCCTCCAGCAACACCTCCACGAGCCTCCGCGATGCTCCAGCTGCTCGGCGGAGCATTGCGCAGGCACTGTACGCGTTGTGCGTGTGCGTGGAAGCGCAGAAGAGTTTAAAGACAGGTAAGAATGAAGGGCGGGTGGGTGAGCCCTCTAGAGCACCGTACCAGAACGGTATCCGGTGTTCTGGCCAGGCACCGGTACACCCCTACCAGGGCGTACCGCTTGCAACCCACCACTGCTGGGGGTTAAGGAGAAGAAAATGGAAACCTGAAGAATTTCAGAAGAGAGAAGACTGCCTACAGACAGACATTTTCCTCAGAAGATTTACCTTCCACTGTAAAGTCAATGAATTTTTGGTCCTGTGTGAAGGCCTTGGTGGAAAAGGACATTCTGGAGCACAGCTACGGGTGATGAAACTGATGGGTTCTGAGCAAGATCCTTTCACGGAATTGTACATAGCGTGTATCCTGAAAAATGGAACAAAGTTTAAGAAACTGCACTTATTATTATTATTGATTAATAATTATTGGGTGAGTTTCATGACATTACTCAATCTATCAAAAGAGCCGCTAGGTTGGCAGAAGCTGGGACAAGTAATGGGAGCTCACTCTGTTATGCGGTGATAGGGATTCGAACTGCCAAACTGCCAACCTTTCTGATTGACAACCTCAGCGACTCTGCCACTGAGCCAGAGCGTCCCTTCTAAGAGCACAGTATAAACATAATTATGTGGACTTTTTAAAAGGATTGCTGCATGCAAAAACACTAGATTAGGCACATTTAATTATGAATTAATGTATTTAGTATTATTACCAATGATTTAACAAGCTCCCCTGCTATAGGAGCAGTGTTTTAATTACTACACAATGTCTGGAGGAGTTTTAGCCGAAATAGGCAACTTCAGGGCCCTCATTCACACCTGAAGCCCTTATTGAGACACTGGTGAGAATTAGAACAAATTTATTCATTTACAAATTTCTCTCATCTGGAGGTTAGTTTAATCATACATATTCTGTACATGGCCCTAATCAAAAGCCCTAAATTATCCAGGGGCCAATTTTTTAATTAGACTGAATTTCATGAGAAGGGACTAGACAGAAAAAGAATTGGATAACCAGGTCATTTTAGCTGTAAGGAAGTAGGATAGGCATGTTTTAAATAAATAAAATAAAGATGTCTGGTTAGGTCGGATTAAAAAAAGACCCCAGTATTATGCAATGGATTGAAGGGATGAAGAATTACCGTGCTTCCCCAAAAATAAGACAGGGTCTTATTTTCTTTTGAACCCCAAAATAAGTGCTTGGCCTTATTTTGGGGGCGGTCTTATTATTTTTGAGGTGCAGGAGGTGGCGAGCATGGTCACCTCATAGCTGCTGCTGTGTTGCAATATTTTCAGGGAGAGCTTATTTTGGGGGGGAGAGCTTATTTTCGCGCATGTGCCCAAAAGCCCAATTGGGCTTATTATCTGGGGAGGTCTTATTTTGGGGGAAAACAGGGTATATTGTGCTGATATTAGTAGTAAAGGACCATGCACCACTGCGGGGTGGGGAGATACCAGCTCCAATGCTTAAGGGTGATTACTCAGTTTCCAAAAAAGAACCTTCCAGAGTACATAAAATTAACTGCATTCAAGTCTAGACAAATGCCTTGCCAACTCTAAATTTAGTTTTATTTTTTCAAATGGCGATGCCACTATCCCGATCTAACCCCATGGCTGAGCTGAAAATGCCTAAGGGTCTTTCTCTGTCCTTGTCCTTTTGAATTGTTTCCCTCGTCTCCGAATCTCTCTGATGAGAACTTGAACAATGAATCAGAATTTATCAGGAGAAGCAAGAATTGTGGCATTCTTTAACAATTTATGCTAGCAACAGGACTCAAAATGCCCTGCAGTTTTCACACCATCCCGTGTATGCAGTGCAATATAATTTCATTTGAATGTGTATGCTGATTGGTGAACATTCAAAGTGACAATAAAGTGAGTCTTAAGCCTAAGCATATGAGGGTTAATATTTCCAAAAAATAGCACTGAGCGTTGAAAATGTAGAAGACTGTTCTTTGTGAGACACATTTGGGTGGGATTCAGCTGGTTCAGACCAGTTCAGGAGAACCAGTAGTTCCGGTGATCAGTTGGCCCTGCCTACCCACCCACCCACACCCACCCTATCCTCTCCTACATTTCCATGTTTTTCAGCTTCGCTGATTCACGGCACAGTGGATTGCTGTGCCTCAGTTGTTTTACTTACCGGTGCTGCAATAGAAGCTAAGTTTTAGAGCTTAAAATGGGAGGTTTTTTTAATGCTACGCATGTGCGCAAAACATACACTCAACGAACTGGTTGTTATACCAGTTGCAACCCACCACTGGACACATTGAATATTATAACCACTCAAATGGCGATATTTACATGCGCCACAGTGGCACAGTGGTTAGAGGGCAGTACTGCAAGCTACTTCTTGTGACTGACAGCTGCCTGCAATTTGGCAGTTCAAATCTCACCAGGCTCAAGGTTGACTCAGCCGTCCATCCTTCCAAGGTGGGTAAAATGAGGACCCAGATTGTTGGGGGCCATAGGCTGACTCTGTAAACCACTTAGAGAGGGCTGTAAAGCACTGTAAAGCGGTATATAAATCTAAGTGCTTTTGTTATTGCTACTTGGGTCAAAATATAGTAAAAAGAGCTTTCATTTCTGGTACTGATAGCAGCTAGATTTGGGGTTTGTAAATTAAGATTTTTATGATGAGCCTCTTACATATTTAACCTTATGGAAGAATTCTATCTTAAAAATAGATGACAAGATGTTATGGGTGGAATCCAGAATAATTACTTTAAACCAATTGCTCTGTAATTGTTATTTGAAGGCTGTCTCTTAATCTCACGTATAATGTTGTTTGCCTAATTAACAACAGTAGCAATAAAATCAACTCAAGGGTCCTGTCTTGATAACTCAATTTGGACCAGACACCTTAGCTGTTTTTAAAGTCCAGATATCCTTTTATTTCCAATTGAGTTCACACCCACATCCTATTTGTATCAAATGTTAAATGTTTTAAAAGTTGAAATAATTTCACACCTATGGGAGCAAATTTTAAAGATTGTCAAAGTTTTCATCAGATTGAAGACTGAAATCGTTTCATCAAAAGATTCTATTTCAAGTTCATAGACCAAAACAAGATATTATTTGAAATAATGGATGTCAGATTTTTTTTCTGACGCTTATGTAAAAAAATTTGAGGGGTCTGATTTTTTTCTTCTGATTTATCTTGTGATATTGTTAAATACTTGACATATAGGTGAAATGTTTATATATAACTTGCCATTTTCTTCTCATTGCTTTTGCTTTTTATTCTTTGTCTTAAGTTTTAATTTGTAATTGGTTTTTTGGGGGGGTTGTTGTTAATTGGTGGTTTTGTACTTATGATAGATGTGAGCAGCCTGCTTAGTTGCATTGGAACAAAATATAAAGATGTATTTCACAGAACAGTTTATCCCTGTAAAACAACATCCAATTATTAATGACTGCAATCTAGACCTAAAATAACATCCAGATCTTTGTGTACTTTAATGGCTTGCCTTGATATAAACTCCATTTGCATAATCTAGGGTAATAATAAAATTATTTTATCTGCTGGATAACTTCATTAAAAAAAAAAAAAAAACTTCAGCAGA